TTTTGAAATATGTAGGCTTTTCTTATTTGATCCTGTTTATGTCATATAATACCCTTCTAAAAATTGCTTTTGTAATTTTCTTGTTTTTAAAGAAATTTGCCTTTAAATTTTTTCCTTTTCTTTCTCTCTGTTTTTCTTTGTTTTTCTTTCTGTGTGTGTGCATAGTGCCATGCATGTAGGTCAAGCACCTTGTGGGAATCAAATCTCGCCTACTATGCACAGCAAGTGTGTTTACCACACTGAGCCATCTCACAGGCCCTGCAATTTTCAGATGTAGTAGTAAAATAGAGAAATGGATTGAATTGTTATCTATCATTCATCTTCAGTAATCTTGAATGCATGACAAATCTTGTTCATTGGTGTGCATACCTACTTTTCCCATCTTGTCATACTCCAAACAGTATGTAATTCTAAATACATAGCAAAACATAATGGTACCACTATTATATTTAAAAACATAACAACTACTGCATACACAATCATTAATAATATCATTTAACATTAAATATGATATAAAAATGTTTAGTCAATGTTCAGTATTCTTTGTCTGTGTGTGTGTGTGTGTGTGTGTGTGTGTGTGTGTGTGTATGTACCTCTGCATGCTCCATGGCTCACAAGTGGAGGTCAACTTGCAGGAGTTGGTTTTCTTTCTCTACCATGTGGGCTCCAGGCTTAGTGACAAGTGTCCTTACCACTAAACCATCTTGCTGGCCTGAATTCCTTCTTTACAAATAGATAGCTGAGTGGGGTAGTGCAGTCACCGCCAGCAGCAGCCGCTCCGCTATTCTCATGGGTGCCGCTCCTTCGTTCTCACAGGCATTGAGGCTGCTCCTCCACTCACCCTGGGCTGAGGCTGCTCTTCTGCTCGCCCGGTGCCATGTTTTGTCATCGCTGCTTCTGCCTGGTCCCAGACCCCAGGGTTGGTGAGGCGGCTGTGTTAGTGGAGCCACATTCAGACACTGGAGACCAGGTTCAGTGACACAGGTCTGCTTTATTGCAGGAAGGTACAACCTTATATAGGGGTAGTGGTCCAATCACAGCACAGCAAGTAGGATACCTTATTAGCATAACAGGTTTAGCGTCCTATTAGCATAACAGACTTAACGTCCTATCACAGAATAGCAGGTAGGATGCTTCATTAGCATAATGGGTTTCAGATTACAGAGCCTGGATTCTTGGAAACCATGTGACCCTGACTGTTGCAATATCTAAGTTTTGTAATTTGGAATTCCAAGGGTGGTGATTAGGAGTGGCAAACTCTAGGCATCAGTCTCACGATCTGCCAATGGGAGCAAATGTCACAAGGCATTTCTTGTGGCTCCAGCGGTTGGGCCGTTGCCTCGGGCCTGCTGTATGGCTATCAATAAGACTTTCACCCTAGGCTCAAGCCTGTCTCCCACAGGGTAATGTGAGTCTAAAGTGGTTAAATAAATATATCCACTAAATAAAAGGACAGCAAGAACAGGTTGGTGTTTCTCCCCATAACTAGAATAGAAGGTGTTCTCAGCCAGGCGTGGTGGTGCACACCTTTAATCCCAGCACTTGGGAGGAAGAGGGAAGCAGATCTCTGTGAGTTCAAAGGCAGCCTGGTCTTCACAGAGAGTTCCAGGTCAGCTGGGGATACAGGGAGACCCTGTTTCTAAAAGACAAAAAAAAGGTCTCATTTGCATTCTTGCTAACTTTTCCTCTTTTAGTTCCCATTGTCCTTGCAATAAATAAATGTGACAAAGCTGATGCTGATCCTGAAAAAGTGAAAAAAGAGCTTCTGGCTTATGATGTGGTGTGTGAAGATTATGGAGGCGATGTTCAAGCTGTACATGTGTCTGCACTTATGGTAAGTGCAAGTGCCCAAGAACAGAGTGCCGGGCTGTGAGCTCTGAACACTTTTTTTGTGTGTGTGGGAGGGAGATACAGTCTCAAGCTCATTATATACCCATGTGGCTCAAACTCACTATGTAGCCTGAGTGCTGGAATTACATGAGTGTCCCACCACACTCAGCTTATGTACTGTTGGCGATCAAACCAAGTGCTTCATGAATGCTAGGCAAGCACTCTACCAAATGTGCTATACGTACTCCCTTAAAGAATAATCTGGGGCTGTAGAGATGGTTCAGTGGTTAAGAGTACTGGCTGCTCTTGCAGAGTACCCAGGTTCAATTCCCAGCACCCACATGGCAACTAACAACCACCTTAACTCCAGTTCCAGAGGATCCGATGCCCTCTTCTGACCTCTACGGGCATCACACAACATAGGTGCACTTACGTACACATACATAAAATAAAAATAATAAATTGTGTGTGTATATATATATATATAGATAGATAGATAGATAGATAGATAGATAGATAGATAGATATAGATATATGGATATATATTTGATCTTTTTGAGACAGGGTCTCCCTGTAGCTCCAGCTAGCCTGGAACTTACTATGTAGACCAGGCTGGCCTCAAACTCACAAAGATCCGCCTGCCTTTGCCTCCCAAGTGCTGGTATTAAAACTCATGCCTTCTGACATAATTTATGTTGTTTTAAAATAATCCTTTGTGGTGGGTATGGTGCATGCCTTTAATCCCAGCACTTGGGAGGTAGAGGTAGGAAGATTTCTGTGAGATCAAGACTAGCCTGGTCTACAGAGGGAGTACAAGCCAGTTGGGGCTACAGGGAGATGTCTCAAAAAACAACAATTAAAAACAAGCATACAAAAATCCTTTGAATGCTGATGAGCTGGCCTTTGGCCAGGATGCATAAGTGAACATAAACCACTGAAGGTAACTGGATAATCTAGCTTCACATTGTTGGGCCCCCGGTCTGGGGTACCCAACGTCCACGGAAGGTCACACCCCAATGACTCAGTCCTCAGACCAGGAGATGCAACAAGCAAGTGGATTTAATCGTTTGCGCAGACGGGCTTCTGCCTCACTCGGAGAGAGAGCGAGAACAGCAGCCCAGAGCTCAGCTTACAGGCTTCTTTTAAAGGCAAAAACCACAGACCAAAACCGGCAGCAGTGGGAGGGGGCCGGCAGCAGTGGGAGGGGGAAGTTTCGGGTGATTTCCAGCTTCTGCAAGGAACATGAAAAGGTTAGTTCTTTTTCAGCAGTTAGAATTATTTTTTATTTTACTTCCTTGTCCTGGGGGACTTGGTTTGAATCCACTTTAATCTGGGGGGGGGGGGTTTAATTTTGATTCAATTGTTGTTAACTGTGTAGATGTCATTTTCCAGCGTCGCCCTGGGTCGGGGCTCTTTTGGCGTGGGAAGCGTGGATCCAGGCCGAAATCCCATCTACTTTGAGGGCTGTAGGAGTAGTCAGGAGAACCATGTAGGGTCCTTTCCACCGTGGTTCAAGAGTCTTT